CTAAGTTAAATTTCTCATTTAAAAATCTAGTGTTTAATCATGTCTAAATATGACCTGCTACATTCTAGATATATTTATGGCATTACAAATGAAAAATATATATTTTTTTCTGACCACAAAATTACTCTAATTTGCCTCTTTGCTTTGGAATTTGAAAGCCTTTTCTCCATTTTAACTTTAAATACTACATTAATTGTAATATAAGTAATATAAGGAAATATTAATGACTTAAAATATTAGGAAAAAAATATTTTAAGTCATTAATGGACCATAATTATTGCATTCTGACCACAAAATTACTCTAATTTGCCTCTTTGCTTTGGAATTTGAAACCCTTTTCTCCATTTTAACTTTAAATACTACATTAATTGTAATATAAGGAAATATTAATGACTTAAAATATTAGGAAAAAAATATTTTAAGTCATTAATGGACCATAATTATTGCACAATCACGTGACCGCGCGGCGACACCGGCGAGATCAAAGCTTGTCTCAACTCTGTTTTTCAATAGCTCTGGCTTTAAAGGGGTCATATGATGCGATTTCAAGCTTTCCTTTCTCTTTGGAGTGTTACAAGCTGATTGTGCATAGATAAGATCCCTGAAGTTGCAAAGACTAAAGTCTCAACTTTCCGTACCCACTGTATTTGTAGAATTTAGTATTAAAACGTACAAAGTTTGAAAGCTGAGACTTTGTTTCATATCGCAAGCAGGGTTGCCAATTTGGTGTGAGATTTACATGGGCAGAGTGAGAGCCTAAAAGCGTGTGTCTCACGCCAAATGCGTGGACATCCCTGGAAGTTTAGTGTTTTATAAAAAGCTAATTAAAGTAGTAAACTTTTTTTTGTCTTTTTGTAAAATCATTGTTTCATTTATTTTATTTTATGATTTATTTTATGTAATTTTGGTCATATTTAGCTTAGTATAGCACATATACAGATTGCTCCTATAAACCTGTGTATAATGTCTGGGAGTTTCTGCTAAGCTGTTTTTATTGAGACAAAACTGCTGAAAATGTGCACATTTTTTTTCTATAAGTTGAACAAACCTTTTTGGGGACATCCTCAAAAATAAAAGTGCTTCATGAAGAGACAAATGAATGTTACAAACTTTTGTATACATTGGTTTTGGTGTTGGTTGGCACACTGTAAAATAACTCATCATTCATAGCAGATGTGAACATGTACAGTACCTACACACACACACACACACACACACACTCACTCACTCACTCACTCACAGAGACAGAGATAGCACATGGCCGCAACCTGTGCAGACATTGAGAGGGATATGTCAGTTTTCAGAATAGTGGTTAACCAATATGTGTGTTTTTTTTTAAATTGATGATCCTTATATACATTTAGTCCTTCAAAACGAATTCAAAAGTTTTAAAACCAGTAGGCCTAATAAACCGTTCAAAAATGTTTGACATGAAACCAATTAAAATATGAATCAAAAATTTATTATTATAAGGGTATATGCGCATTGAGTGGTATTTGTTTAGTTTAAAATAATCATCTTTATCTTAAAATAAATACTTTTAATGCTGTGTCAACCAGTGCACGCGCATTTGCACAATATATCTATGATCGTACTGTAAATAAATACATTTACTGAACATTTTGTGACACTGAATTGATCTGTTTTACCCAATGACTTTCATTTGCACCTAGTTGGGTTTTGAATAAATTTATTAATTCATTTTTTTTTTTTAATTATTTAAAAAATATAACATCTTGTGAATCTGTAAAGTTACATGTTATTATAAAATACTTTTGACAAAGTCGTAGCATTGAATAGTCTTTTAACTCAATAAATGAACAAATAACATCTGAAAATATAACACTAAGAATACATGCCATGCATAGATAGAAGTACAGTGATTTTGCTTTCACTCTGGCTATGGTGTGGTGCGGCATTTAGGTGGTTTGGAGGACCACTGGTTCATCCGTGTGGGTTTCTGCGAGACAGTTTTTCATGGGCTGACGAACCTGAGATTGACCAAAACTCAAGCATTCTCAGGTTGGACAGTCCTCGAAAGCACTGCTCATCCAGGATGGCCAGATCACACTGACCACAGATTACTTGCATCATCTTTAAAAAAAAAAAGAGAAAGAAATTCAAAAAAGAGAAAAACAAATCAGAGGGAAAAAAAACTAGCAAAATTTAGACCTACCAATTTTTATTTTTTTTTTCAAAATTGTAATTTGTAAATTAAATTGTATCCATTTCTATGATGAGAAGAAAATAATAGCACATTTTCTTTCTTTCTTGAATGCAGGAAAAGCATGGACATTTACAACAATATGAAAATATAGAATGATAAAAAAAAAAAAAAAAAAAATTAGATGAAGAAACACCATGCTTGGAAAAGTTACTAAATATCTCCTACAATTTCCATTTGACCAATATGTAAAAATAAATCCAATCCAATCCGGAATACTGAAAACTATAATATTAGCATGATTTCCGCAATTTTCAGATTGTGATTATTACATGAATCACACTCAACACGCTGACCAAATCTTGAGAAATCTTATAGAAATGTCCCCCATAAAAAGTACATAAAATATGGCCTACATAAAAAAAAATTAAAATGAAGGAAAATTAGTTACATTTAAATAAATAGACATTTGACTCTAAATTTGGCTGCCCTTACAGTCTCTGTCATGCTGTACTGTATGCTATAGTATATCATGATGTGACAACTTTCGCGCCTTTTCAGTTGGAAAGGGCCACTGAAACCTTTACCTTACAGCATCCATAAAATCTAAATAGCTACATACATAAAACTATGAATCATTCATTACTATGAAGCAAATCCAACGAGTTTAAGCAGATGCAATTATTACATTACAGCCACTTAGAGACAATCAGCTCAGCTGTGTCTGACTGTAATGGCCTCGTGGCTTTACAGAACAACACCGTCCCACGGCTTTAACCCTCCATATCTCTCAAAGATCTGTCTGTATCATAAAACCTTGCTTCTGCCAGGATGATGTTCAAAATCATAGACTTATGAATTTATTCACAGATGCATTGGTTGACCTTTTCAACAACTACAAACTTATCTGCACCAACATAATCTCAGACGCCAAAAAGTCCTGGATTTCTCGCTGTTCGTTTAGTTTGGCATTCACTGTGGGCTGGTGCACGCAGCCATGCAAAACACTCACCTCTGCCTTACCTACACAGACGTTTATTGGCTCCTCGTCGCTCCACACTGACAGAGGACTTTGAGGCCTTCACTTGAGCCCGCAGAGAAGCCGGACCGTCGGGCTGATGCTCACACACTCGCTGCGAGCTGCTGGAGATGCTGTCGAGCTGCCACACATGAGCAAAGCGCCTCCTTCCTGTTTGTCACTATGAACAAGCTTGTGGTAAACTTTCCATGACATCTCAATATTGAGGGCCACTAGAGCACGTTTCATTCATCTCAACCGCTCCTTTTTGAAATGCCTTATGTGACCTGCTGATTGTTTTATGACAAGAGGAAGAGCGAGATTATAGCTTTTCTGAAATGAAAATTTGGTTTGCAGTTAGTGGCTAGATATCAACTTTTAGCCTCTGCTTGTTCATTTTAACCAGGCTGATTATAACGATGAGTCATATTAACCAAAAGCTGTATTAGTCACTTACATTAATACATTAAAAAAGGCAAATGTTCTCAGTTTGTAGAACCAATGATTCGCAGAAGCTCTTTTCTACATGAATTACATGTTGTGTGATGAACTAAAAGGTGAGGCGATCTTTTAGTGTAGAATACACTGAGAAGGGTAGTTATTATAGTGTTGACTATCATATATCAGAGTGGAGTTAATTATGGAAACTGATGAAAGATTGCTAGGTTAGTTTCCATATCGACAGGACAACCACAGCATCCTTCCTGTGTGTTTCAGACATGAATGAGTTTCAATCCCACTGTCTCGGTTACAAAAAGCATACAAAATAGAAGAGAAGTGCCATAAGACAGTCAAGCATATACTTCTCTTCACATCTCTGGACGGATTTTGAACGGAAAATTCATTGATGTGAAATTCTCAGACATGACATTTCATTTATGTCCTCAGAAAAAAAACAAGCAAGGTATAGAAGTTTTTGAAAGAAGTCTCTTATGCTCAGCAAAGCTGCATTTATTTGATCAAAAATACAGTAAAAACTGCAATATTGTGAGATATTATTATAATTTAAATGAACTGTTTTCCATTTGAATATATTTTCAAATGTAATTTATTTCTGTGATGCAAAGCTACATTTTTGGCATCATTACTCCAGTCTTTAGTGTCACGTGATCCTTCAGAAATATATCCTTCTAATATATTTAATGTATTTGGTGCATTTTTTTCAATGCTGAGAACAGTTGTGCTGCTTACACAATTTTTTCAGGATTATTTGATCGACTTTATGCTTCCTTTCTCAACAAAAGTACTAATTTCTTTAAACAAACCAAAACAAATCTCACTGACCCCCACATTTTTGACCAGTACTGTATGTGTAGATTTTTATATACACACATCCGTGCATATGTAATCCAAACAGTTTGATTAGGATCATTACATGAAGCACATCACAATTATTACACTGCTATTGATCAAATATATCAATTCAATGAGCATGAAACGCTGACTTGAGTTTTAATGAATTTATTATGCAAGGTGTGGAAATGAGTCACTGTTATGTAGAACATACCAATTATACAGTGTAGCAGTCATTACACAAAAATATCAGACTGACCAATCAGAATCAAGTATTTCAGAAAGTGTGCAATGACGACGCAATAAAATAAATAGCTAAATAAATCCTAGACTATTATTCCTGTTGAAGGACAAAAGTCACAGCAGATACATTCACTAGGCCTTGACATGATCACTGCAGATCTCAGTGCTCCCATATTAACATAATATTGTTCGCATTTTCTATCAAACATTAAAAAGAAGACAACTTATTTTGTATATTGCAGTACAGGATTTTTTTTTGGGGGGTTAACTATTGTGAGTCAGCATAAATCAAACAAATAAAACGCACACAATCACATCATATTTCTATGATGAACTAATTTCTTCAGGCTAGGTACTTTCTCAAAGTGCTCAGTGGGGTAAAAACGATAAAACAGAGATATCAACTCGACATCCATAATAAGAGCAAGCACAACGCTCATTGGCTTGAATTTGAGGCCAAACACCAACACTTCCTGTGGGCTAGTTTTGTTCTTGTACGTCCTGTATGTTCTCGACGCGACGGCGAACATCAAGCAGATGTCAGCCATATATGGTAAAGGCAACTATAGACTCACTGGACAGATGCAAGATGCTGCACTTTTGTGGGTCAAAAAAAAAACAAAAAAAAACGTAGGTTATTCTCATCGCAGAATGTGAAATTGGCAGCTGATTACAGATGATCTACAATACAGATCCTATCTACATTTAACAGGAGCTGCTCCTTCCTGTTTATGTTTGATAAATAGATAGCGAAACCCTTAAATTGAGCTCGACATCTTAAACGGTCAAAATTTTTGCAGAAACTTGTAAAAAAACTGTTCAAGTTGTACAGAATGCAGTGCTCAGTTGTGAAAGTGTAATTGTTAACAGCGTGTGGTTTGGTCAGCAGCCGTCTGCAGGTAAAGCGAGAGAGAAAGCAAAGATTAAAACGAAGCAACGCCCACACATTGTTTCCGATGAAGTGGTCCTTCAAAGAAATTCACTGTCTAAGTGTAGCAAGGCAGCGCTTTGAGTCTTACTTTACTCTCTGAAAGCTTGACTGCTGCATGAAACGGAGTACAATAATAAAAATCACACGCTGTTTGCCATACACGTGCCAAAAATACTAAAGCGGCAGCAAACACGTAAGGCAATAAATCAACTGCATGTGCTTCAAAATCAAACATTACACACTTTAGGCGACAGTAAATATTAAATAACTCGCATAAAAAAACAACAACAACTAAGTAAACCTTCATAAATAAAACCTCCACAAATAAAAACTTCACAAAACGTTTCTGTTTGGGGAGTGCCAAAAAGTATAAAAATATTTTATAATGTACAAATATCCGGCGTGACTGAGCTGCTGAGATGATCTGACACCCGTCAGCAGCTGGGCTCATCCATGTCATCATCACTCCAGTCTGGAGGCGCATCCGTGCCAAAATATCGATCCCCAAAATTTCCTGGACCAAAAAGAAATCATGAAAATTTAAGCACATTTTCTCAAAATTATCATTACTGTAATGTGTCTGGATTTTTTTTTTTTTAAACCGTACAAATGGTATTTTCATTTCCTCAACTGATCTTACTCACCCCAAACATTTAAACGGTGTGTGTGTGTGTGTATGTGTATAGAGTATGTACACACACACCCACATAATACAATTAACCCTTTTACAATATTAAAGATATTTAAAATAGAATACTCTAGTTGAGTCCCCTGTGTGAGTTTTCCGAGTTTGTCACATGACACACTGCATCCACAATATGTATCTGACCGATGTACTGATTTAATTTAAGTTTTTTCTTTTTATTCAAAATATTCACAAACTGGAAAATAGTAATACAGATTTTAATGCCATGTTAGCATCTGAGGCTATTTTTTACAATAACAATGAAAAGCAAATAGGCCGAAAGCTACAACAAATTTAAAATTACACAAGATGTTTTACATTTACATATGATAAAAATCAAGTATTTGTGTATTTAAATGGTTGAAACCTAAAATAAACATCACGTGGTTGAAAATACTGAAAGGTTGTGATATATGACAAGCGGTGAGCTAGTCTCTGGTTCAACGCAACTCAAAGCGGGAACGTAGATTTGAATTTAGCATCTAATCATGTGACACACTCAATGTTCTAATCACACCCATTATCCACATCAAAGGGTTAATATATAAAGAAATAACTGTGAAACAAAAATCACACATCGCAAAAACCTTAAAGGGGTCATCGGATGCAAAATTCACTTTACAAGTTGTTTGAACATAAATGTGTTTCCATCCTATAATGATAAAAATCCACCCAGTGGTTTTTTTAAAATCCCTATTTTAAAATCCCCTTTCAAATCAGGCTGTTCTGAGATTCCTGTCAGAATGACGTAGTTCTGTACAGGCCCCTCCCACGATAGTTGATTGACACTAGCATCTTACCTTAAGACCCGCCCTGAGTGAGCTGTGAGCTGTCCGCCATTGTGTCGACTCCGGTGCAGGGGAAGACAAGAATGTCTCAGATTAAGCGATTGAGGTGTTCTGTTGTTGGATGTAATAATGAATATAGCAGTCGTCATTTACTCCTGACATCTGAGCCGCTGAAGACGCAGAGGATTAACGTTACTTTAGTTTTTGAAGGGAATGTGCCGATCCCGATCTGCCTAAATGCGTCTATGTTCATGCGAATCATTCGTGATCCAGCTTCATCTACAGAAGAAGTGAGTATAAGGTTTTTAGAATCATATCAACTTGTGGAAAATGGGCATCCGATGACCCCTTTAATGGTCCTAAAGGTACTGTAAAAAGTCTTCACTTTCCATTAAGCAAAGTATAATTTATTAATTTTTTTATGATTTGGGGTGAAATATGAGCCAGACATGCTCAAGGCTGGTTTTGTGAGAATGGCCCGTTTGTGTAGAACTTTTAGGACAAGAAGCCACAGTTAAGCAGATAAGTAATGCTGAGAAAGTCTCACCTATGCCGGGGATGATGTGAAACAGGTCGTTGACCTTCTTGTCGACGGCGGTGGTGATGATTTTGACCTGAGGAAAGGCGTAGGCCACAGAATGGACACCCATCTCAGCCATCAGCAGAGACACCAGCAGGATCTTATCCTCCTGAACGTCATGATCCTACACACACACACACACACACCTCATGACTGTCCCGTTCCTCCACTATACCACAGAAGTTATTGCATTTAATATATAATCACAGATGTGGATGACTTTTTTTTTTTTTTAGTTCATGCATCTTCAGTGTTAGTAGATTAATTATATTTAAACTAGTGAGAGCGTGAACGATGTGTTCTCCCCCGAGGGTTTATTTTGTTAAACTTCCACCGGTGCCAAAAACGGTCATAGAAACGGATAAATACAGCTCTGTACTGTAGAATGAATATGTGAGAATGTGTAAAGTTATGTCACGCTCTATGGCTGCTGTCAGCTAGTGAGGTTTCTCTGCTACGCCTACACTGACTGACAGACAAACAACCTGGGCCGCTCTATATGCGGTGCCTGTGTAGGCGTGTGTGTGTCTCTGCCACTGCACACTATCAGTGTGTTGTGCGGGGAGAAAAGGCTCAAATGCAGACTTACAAGTAAAACTCTGATGGCCATCATGGCTGCGGCTCCGGTGGACACAGTGCAGTCCATCAGAATCACGTGATCCTCGCTGATGTCTTTGGGCAGACGCAAATAGTGCAACTGGATGGCAACAGAAATAACATGTCTAAATGAATGAATCAATCAAATTAATAAAGAAAAATGAACTAGTGAGTTCATGCAATTATTGAAACATTTATTTCTTTCAAAATTATATTTACTCTATATTATATTGTGCAAAATGACTGAATGACTGAAGAGTGGTACTCCAAAAAACAACTGCACAATTGCATCATATTGTTGTCAGTGTTGGGAAGGTTATTTTGGAAATCTAGTAAGTAGTGTAACTATTTCAATCACTTTATTCATGTAACTTATTGCATTTAATTACTTTTCTAAATTTCTCATTATTAATTTAGAAACATGTAAACCAAGCAGGGTTAACCTTACAGTAGCACTCAACACTGATTCCTCAAAATCCTTCATCACTTGAATTAAGATTATAAAAATGTCATTTTAAAAGCACAGCCACCACAAAATCAGACTTTAGCACGACTTTTTACTTTACTTTAGATAGTCCTGAGGTTAATTACAGATTTAAAATAATAAAAAAATAGTTTAATAGCCATGATACTGTTTTTGACATTAAATCTTTGCATAGCTATGACAGGAAACACTTGCATCTAACAATGCCTTGGAAGAAAAAAAAAAGTTAATCTTAAAAAATAAAGCATATACATAAACTCAAAAAGAAATGAAGCAGTTACTGAATAAGCATGTGTCCTATTCTGTGTCCTAAACCCCTGAAACATTGGTGTCTCATATTTTAGAGTCGTCAATGCAATTTATGAAAGATATCAATTAAATCTGTATGTGGGTGTGCGTGTGAAAAAATTCAGATGTATCCCCCTTTGCAATCGTTAACATTTTCATAAGTAATTGTAATTTAATTACACATTTTTTTCTCAGCAACTGCAACAGATTAGTTACATTTTTGTAATTACGTAACTCTGTTACTCCCCAGCACTGATTGTTGTGAAGAACAGAAAGATACGAGTAAGACTATAGCACTGCTGCAGACAGATTTCGTATTTTCACTGTCTTATACAATCTTATACAAATCTTCATATTCCACTACGCGTGTCAACTACACTAATCACCGAAACCAATGTTTTCACACATTTAGTTTTCTTTCCTAGAAAAGAAACCAAATATGTCAACTATGAATAAATTGAGACTTGAATTTGATTTAATATGAATTATTTAATTCACTGCAAATCCAAAATATAAAATAAAAAAAATTAAATAAAAAGTTAACAATTCTTTAAAAAAATCTTTAATAAAAGAAAAAAAACAGATACTACACTTTAAAGCAGCAAAAAAAAAAAGAAAAAAAAAAGAAATGTTATAAACTATAAAATACCTATAAATTGTGCTAATAACACAAAATACTGTAACACTGAAATGTCTTGCTCAGAAAACGGTTAACAATAATCTATAAAATAAAACACACTTTAAATAAATAAACAAATGGTAACACTTTAGTTTGGGGACCAATTCTCACTATTAACTAATAACTACAACGTTTGCCTCAAACTCTTAATTTGCTGCTTATTAGAAGTTAGTAAGTTTAGGTATGGGGTCAGAGTAAGGGATCTAAAATATGGTCATGCAGAATAAGGCATTAATATGTGCTTTATAATTAATAATAAACAGCTGATATGCTAGTAATATGCAGCTAATAAGCAACTAGTTAATAGTGAGAATTGGTCCCTAAACTAAAGTGCTACCAAATGAATAAATTAATTTAAAATTGACATCATCTGACTTGATCTGATGTGTGTAAATTCTGGGGGGTAGTAAGAGCAGAAAGGGGCGTTACCTCAGGCTCTCCTGTGTCCTGATTGGTCTGGATGAGGATTTTGCCAATGCGGACGTCTTTGCACACGGCCCTAAGCGCGGGCTCCATGGTCTCTCCCGCCCTGAGAATCGACACACCCGTAATCTGCTCAAAACAAAGAAGAGGGAGAGCCTAAACTTTTCTACACCACACAGAACAAAGACATTCTTGTATGACAAAGAAAATCGCCAAATAAGCAGATTGATTAGGCTGAACCACCAAGAGATTGTCCAAAAAGACATTTTTCGTGGCACATTATTTTCTTACCCCCTTCCCATGAAAAGTTCGGCCCTCGTAATCTTCTCCTTGTGGGGTCTGAACAATGTGAACCTGCAGCAGATAACAGACAAACTGTAACGTCAAGCTTTTTTTGTCCAGGCATATCATTCATATGTAGCTAAACTGATCTTCCTCTCTGATTAAAAGCCACAGTAAAATGTCAGCAGCAACATCATGAAGCTCACTAGCTCACTGCACTTCTCCTGTGAGTGTTTTAAGTGTAAAGGTCGCTGTTTTGCTGCTGCGCGTTGCTAAGCCGATTTCTATCATGTTGAGTTTGTTAGTCTGAGTTTCCACTGCGGTGGACAAGCGAGACAAGTTTCCATGTTCAAGACGAGGCCTCCATGCCCACACGCTCAAATCCGTTTGCGTGCCGTTATTAGGTCGATCTAAAGATTCCTCATCAATACCTTCATCTTCGCTTGGTCTGTAACTCTTTTCTCACCTGAGAGGGAAGGAAGGACAGCGCTCTCTCGATGAGGAGCCGCATTAACCTCTTAGAGTAGAAGATGAACTCGTCTCGACTGGTCTCTTTATTTCTGCAACACAAGCGCGAACGATAAATTTACTTACTAAAATGACAAAACAGTTGTGCATTTATTCGCATTCAAAAAAATTCAAATTAAAATGGAAGATCTTTTTTATAACCTTGTAAACTTTTTGTTCAAAATATATATTTAAATTTATTACAATTATGAATATATTTTTTACAGTTTTACTAGTTAATCTAAAATAGTTAATCAGACATTTAAGACCATATATAGTAGGACTTCCCCTATTTTAGCATGCAATAGCCGTTAGTTTACGTTACAGCCTGGCATAACCTCGCACAGCCTGTGACGTGGACGAAAGCAATGAAAAAAACTTTCAAAATGAGTGCATTTCAGCCACTGGTTTCTGGTAGTTGGTCACAGGTAGTATGAGCGGGAGGGACAATTTCCACCCAATAATGGGTCACTGGTATGTTCTGAGAGGGTGGGGGGGGGAAATAAATAAGAAAGAAAGAAAGCCTAAATAAAAAAACAAATTAAACCAAGCAAAAACAAAACTAATCAAAACAACAAATACAAAAAACAATCATAAAACATAATAAAAAACAGAAAACAAAACTAAGCAAAAAAAATGAAACAAAATAAACAAACAAAAAAAAATTACAAAACAAAACCAACCCAAAATGAAAACTAAACTAAAAAAAACAACTGAACAAAAAAACCAAACAATGCATCCAAACAAACAAACAAAAAAAAAATAAATCAAGAAAAAAGCTAAGCTTAAAAATCTAAGCAAAAAAAAAAAAAAACTCCAATAGCACATCACAGGGTATGATGTTACCTCCTGTTTCTGAGGGGGTGGGGAAAGCAAAAAATACAAAAATAAAAAGAAAGAAAGAAAGAAAACTTAAAAAAAAAAAAAAAAAAAAAAAAAAAAAAAAAAAAAAAAAAAAAAAAAAAAAAAAAAAAAAAAAAAAAAAAAAAAAAAAAAAAAAACCTACAATAAAAAAAAACAACTACAAAACCAAGCAAAAACAAAACTAATTAAAACAACAAGCAAAACATTTTGCATAAAACATAATAAAAAACAGAAAACAAAACTATGCAAAAAATGAAACAAAATAAACAAACAAAACAAAACCAACCAAAATGAAAACTAAAAACAAAAACAAAAAACAACTGAACAAAAACAAGCAAATGAAAAAGAAAATAAAACTCCAATAGCACATCACAGGGTATGATGTTACCTCCTGTTGTTTGTATTTACAAAACTGTGAATTGTCTCTTCATACATGTAAAAAATTGGTATATTGTTGAACATTTTGTCTACTTTTATACAATGCACATTTTCAAACTATAAGCATCAAAACTATAATTCTGTTTTGCATAAGGTCTTTCCACATTACTTCACTCTGAGTCTGGACAGCCATATGAGATGCTGTACAGTTAGTCTGTAAACTCCAAGTACTGGTGAGTTTTCCACAATGCATACACTGCAGTGAGATGTGTGAAGTAAACTGCTGCGGCACAGATGCGTGTGTGTCTGACCTGATGATGGTGTGCATGCCGCGGACCTGCGGCGTACTCTCCACAACACTGAGGGTCTGCGGAAGGGGCTGGGCCTGATGGGCAGACGCCAGGGCCGCCCTGTTACCATCACCACCGGCGAGAGACAGAAACAGACAGGAAGTCGTCAGTGCAGTGGAATTAAATGGTACTCTCATTCCAGCACTACACAGGCGGAGAGAGACACATGCTCACACAATAGCTACTAGTGTCACCCAAATCATTCAAACATTAATGCAATGATAGAGGAGAGGATTTAGAAGCATACAGGAATGATTTATATAAAAGAGAACCAAAGGACAATCTCCAAATGAAAAGCTAACCCGTCTATGAATTAGTGTTTAGATAAATGTATATGGTGGCCCCAAAAGTATTTTGACACTTCTTGTCATTGTATTTCTTTTACATTTTGAAGTTTCTTTGTGTGAAATATTTTGTTTACAAGGTTGGGCTGTTTTTTTTTTTTATTTAGCAAGGGTGCATTAAATCGATCAAAAGTGACTGTAAAGACTTTTAATTTGTAACAAATATTTCAGTTTCAAATAAATGCTGTTCTTTTGAACCTTCTATCCATCAAAGAATCCTGAAAAATATGTGTCACTTCCACAAAATATGCAGCAGCACAACGGTTTTCTACATTGATAATAATAAATGTTTCTTGAGCAGCAAATCAGCATATTATAATGGTTTCTGAAGGATCATGTGACACTGAAGACTGGAGTAATGATGCTGAAAATTCAGCTTTGCGTCACAGGAATAAATTACATTTGAATATATATATATACAAATAGAAAACAGTTATTATAAATTGTAATAATATTTCACAATATTACTGTTTTTACTGTATTTTTGATCAATTAAATAGCAGTCTTGCTGAGCATAACAGACTCCTTTCAAAAACATAAAAAAATTAAAACCAAGCCCAAACATTCATACAATCATAGTTATGCATTAAGTGTTCAAATATTTTTTGAAGCCACTGTTCACTACAGCTTACAAACACTATTGGTTAACCACATCTGTTAGAAAGCTTCATGAGCTCGGAGTAGGTCAGGCTTTTTTGGGAGTATCCCATGGTTCAATTCCACAAGCACTCAGGTCAAAGACTGCATCCTGTCAACAAACAAAACACCGCCTTCAATGTAAACTCTGACAAACGCATGTCATTGCTTTACATTTAAATGAGATGCTTCATTAAAACATAGGTGTGACAATATGCAGTCTTTGGAAATCACACCTAGATGCCTGCTGTTCTACTTATGGTCTGTAATGCAACAGCATAAAACATAAAACAAAAAAAAATCATAAGCAAATCTCCTCACATATCCCAGCGGAGCTTTCTCTGTGGGGGAAGTGACAAACAACAGACAAACAATGACAACAGGAAGAGAGGGAAAAGAAGAGAGACGTCACAAACTATCAGGTGAAGGAGGATGAGGCGGTCACATGACTGAGAGTTGAACAAGAGTGTGACAGCTGCGATCGGCACACAGTGTGCATGTTCTGTGGGCAAATCATCCAGCACTGATTATGCCATGCAGTCTCATTTTAAAGGTACAGTTCACCCAAAATGACAATTTTGTCATCAAGGAATACAAAAGAAGCAAAATATCCCAGCTGCTTCTGGGGGGGGGGAGGGGGGGGTCTTTCATGCACGTCCAAATATGACAGGTTTGATGTCCATGACGATTAGTAATGGAACCAATGAAGTCTGATGGCACTGACCTCTTAAAGTGACAGTTCACCCAAAAATGAAAATTCTGTCATTTACTCACCTTCACGCATGTTTGAGCTTCTGTTTAATATATTTGATGTCTGTGCATTGATCAGTGTTTACATGTGAATAATGGCCTAAATTAAATCTGTCCGTCATATAAAGCAATCGTGGATTAAACTGCTTGAGATACTTTTAATGTTTTTATGAACTTTTTGAATCCTCAAGATTTTGGTGGAACAGACTTTCAATGGAGGGACAGATATTTCTTTAATAGTTTCATTAAAAATGCCTACATTTTTGTTTTAAAGAGTAGCCATATTACGGGAAAAAGTGAAGTGGTCGGCACCAGAGAGATTCATGGCACGCTCAGTCTCTGTTTCAATCACAATCCATTTATAATATTGTGATGACGCATCACGGTGCATAATATTGTGAGATTTGTATCATGTGTTGTGAGGTAACAGGTGATACCCAGCCCTAAAAGAGTCAGTCATGTGAGTTTAGAATGACATAAAAATATAAATTCATCATTTATTCATTTTAAGTGAACCATTTCTTAAACCTGTGCAAGCTGTGACAGTACCGTGCAAATACATTTTTTTTTTTTTTTTTCAGATTTGGTGTGGTTCCTGTTGTAGCTGTCATCCTCTCATTCACTCTCACTGACACAAAGGTCTGCTACATCCTGTGTCAGGGGCTGTACTTCCTCATGTTTCTCTCTCTTTCTTCCTCTCCTTTCTGTCTCTCTCTCTCTCTCTCTCACACACACACACTCGTGTGCTGTCGTTTCTAGCCCAACGGAAAAATTAAACTCTTTGTAGTAGACATAGGAAACTTCAGTGCGTGCGAGACGCCGTGTTCAACAATAGCTACAGAGACAACCATGAGAGAGAGAGAGAGAGAGAGAGCGAGAGGGGAAAGATAGAAAGAGCAAGAGAAAGTAAGAGAAAGAGAGGTCAAGGGGAGGAAGACAGCGGAGTATTTTTAGACACGGCATGCAGGGAGGGTGTCTGCTGTAAAACACTGAAGGATGGAAAAACAGAAGGTATCTGCCTCCCTCCTGACTGCAGCGCTGAGCATCTATCCTCCCGTATTATATCATGTCATGAGACGTCCATTCCATAATGCTCTACTGCTGGCCAGTACTGGATTGATCAGTGCTGGTTTGTGGTTTCCCAAACATCATAGCTGTGAATATATCAGTGTGGGTCTATATATAATAATAAAGCTTGACCCTTTTATCATTTTTTTTCCCCCACAATGCCAGATTTCTCC